TTTGGAAGATGGCCTTCTACACCTCTCACATATATCGTGAAGGAAATGTGGTAGGAGACAATTTTGCTAACATGGGCTTGTTGTAACGACCCGTCCCCAAAAACTACGATTTTTATAATTTTAAAATGTGAAATTTCGAAAAGGCCCTTCGAGGCAAATGCATTGACTTTTGTTGACCATCTTGTCGAGTCATGTAAGATACATTTTCTTGGCGTATCCTCATAATACTCGTCGCTATAAACGCGTAGATGCAAATGTAATGTGATTTGGAGTTATAACGAAAAAGTTATGGGCAAGTAAAAATAGGGACAAAATATTCATTTAAATATTTCTTGGAATGCTCCAGATTTTTGAAGCAAAATCTACAAAGCCACATGTGTGGCCCAGATTAAAGGGAAGAAATGATGGGCGGTGGAGATGAAATATAAAGGAGAGAAAGAAGGGGCGGGACACCCAATCAGAAAGAAGGGAGAGAAGAGAGTGACCAATGGGGGAGAGAATAAATGAGGGGAAAGGAGATAGTGGAGGAGCACCGGATCACCCTTGACTCGGTTCCTCCCCGTGAACCAAACCCGTTCCGCACTATTCCGACGTGATTTTTGTTGGTTTTTCCATCAAATCGCCGCCATCCACCATCTGGAAAATATTCCATGATCTCCCATCTTCGATTTCCAATCAAGTTTCACTAGATTTAGCCTTGATTCCTTGAAGAACGGAACTCGTGGGTTCTGGGGGTGCCATGGCGGAAATCCAACGATCGTGAAGCTAACTCCGCCAACCACCACCACTAATAGACTCTCCTCAACCTCAGGAACAAAGCTCATGCATTGGTTGGGGCGTCGAAGCTTGTTTGGAGTCGAATCAAAACCACCAATTTCTAGGGTTTCCAACAGGTTCGTGGCGATTTGAAGCTTTTTCCGGTCAAATTGGACTTGGCCGCAAGTATGAAACTTGCTATACTCATTGAGATCTTCATTTCCCTGAAATTTGAGAATTTTTAGAAATAGTTGACTTTTTCGATGAGTTGGGGCAGCTGACTGCCGTGTGTGGTAGCGCGTGGGCTGAGACAACCGTTAGATTGTCACCATAATAGAACTGATGGATCGAGAATCCGACGTGCAGATCTTCCCGAATTAGATTCCTAAGTTTGTAAAATAAAATGTTGACCGCCACTTGAATTTACAATTGGCAGAGATCCGACAGTTGGATCGTAATGAAACTTTAGTATGATATTTTAGAAGCATAATGTGGATCTTTAGAAGTTACGGATCAGAAATCTGTGATACGGATCTTCCAGATTAAGTTACGTAGGGGTGTGGACCCTACCGTCGATCTGTAACCGACTGGTTGACTTTTGGTCAATGAGTCTTAAATCATTCTAGAACGTCTTTGGGGAATGTGTTTTATGTAAGTTACGTGTTCTATCGATAAAAATTCTGAGACATGACTGAATATTTGTTCTAGGCAACGATCGTTCGTGATGCATCAATATTCATGCTAGGGAGTTGCAGCGCGAACCTCAAGTGAGTGGGTCTTTTTCCTTTTTATATTGTGTGTGTGTGTGTGTGTAAACTTTACAGTTTCTATAAATGTTTTTATATGGAACTATGTTTTGCTTGCCATGACGTAAATAAGTTACATTTTAAATATTGCATTGTTACACTTGTGAATTGTATTGTGTGATGCTGCGAAGACTCAGGTAAGTATTATGTGATTGAATGGGTTGTATTGCATTGGTATGCACACATTTATTTAGAGCTCATCATGGCTGCACCCTGGTATTAGTGCTCCTGCTCGAGGTTAGGGCTAACCTTCATGTGATTGTTCACCTCCCGCACCACACGCTCACCTTGGATCCAAGTCTGGTGCCAGCCTGTCGTATAGACCACAATAGGTGGTTCCGACTCGTATGTGACCCACTAATTATCACACAGGCTTCACATGATCGTAGCACTTAAACGTACATATTTATACCCAGCCTGTTGCTCTTGTACATTGGTTTTATACCTACGTAGTAGTATTATTTTCTGGAAACTATACGGGTTTTATGGTGAGGGGTTATAACGCTTTCAAAAAGTTTTTTTTATCAAAACTTTATTTTTAGGCCCACTCACCCTTATTTTTCGCCCCTCCAGGTGTTAGTAGTAGATTTTTCGTATCGACGAGGATTATTGGCAAATCTTGGTGTAGGCGATTATCCACATCACTACACATTATGCTTCGTCACCTTCCTGGTGTCGGCCAACATAACTCGATTCAGAGTCCTAGTTGACATTCCGGGTCGGGGTGTGTCACTTGTCATCTCTAACTTTGGTATAACATGATTCCCCTCTAATAGCAATTCGTGTTGCTTTTGTTTTCAAACTATGTTGGCTTTCCAACTTCTACTTCTCAAATTAATGTGCATCTCGGAATACATGTATGTCTCACTTTCTTTTTTTTTTCTTTTTTTTTTTTAACCTTACGATGATGATTGTTCTGTTTTGCATGTTTAGACATTTAGGCTCGGTTTTAGAGGGGTTATGTTTCATGTCCCCTTTCTTTTCCTTGTATCTTTGTTGTTTTTTGTTTCTAGAGATGTAAGGTTCATGTACCCTTTCTTTTCATATATTTTTTTTTTCTTGCATTATGAGGGTTAGGTTAATCTCCTCCTGACTAGTTGTATTATATATATATATATATATATATATATATATATATATCAATAAAATTCCCCTAGTAATGTCCTTTTTTTTTTGTTTTTTTTTTGGTGGAACAAACGGTAGTATCTACACTAGGGGCTAGTAGAGTAGTCTAAGTCTTACAATAAGCTTTACAATAATAATGTGGTTCAACTTTATCTTTGATAAAAATTAAATCTAAAATATTTCATTTACAAATGAGCTGGAATATCTACCAAAAAAAGAAAATCACCCAATGTTCTTTAGTTGCTGGGCCTTGCATCAATTTTCTGATGAAAGCTTCTCTAGTTTTTTTGAATGAAAAAAAAAAAAAAAAAAGTAAAAAGTAAAAAGGCAAGCCGGACTGTTGTTTGGGTCAACAGTATCTTCCAAAATGGATATGTAATATGTTAATATTTGATTAATATATAATACTTTTTTATTTTCTTTTGAATTTTGGATGACGAGGTAGATTATCTGCCTTCCTATTTGGATGCCATTTTTATTCTTTTTTATTTGTACAGTCATAATTAAATACGTCAACATTTTATATTTTTATTATTTTTTATTTTATTATCTTTATAAAAAAATCAATATAAAATATTAACATGACTTAACCGGAATCACACAAAATAAAATGAAATAGAAAGAGCATCCAGATAGGACGGCAAACAATCTATCTCGTTTTGATAAAAGGAGGTTTTAATTGTGGGATGTGAACCGGCACCTCGTAACATTACCTACCAGTAAGATAATATCTAATTGAGAAAACCAAGAGAATACCCAATGCGCAATAAGTCATGCCCCATAGAACCCAAGTCAGTCAGATGTGAGCTGCATGATAAATATCACTTATTATTATTTTTCTTTTTGTTTAGAAAGAGAAAATAGTTTCGTCATGGTAGTCCATCATTTCGATAGTCAGAAATATATAGGCATTTCAGCTGCTCTATAGTCATCACCGTGAAATTCACCAATGTTAAGAACCGAAACCAGGACGTGTTATGTGAAATACGGATTTGAAATTCGTCTCCAACTATTAGGCCACCACACGGTGGTTGATAAATATCACTTATTTGAATGTCTTCTATGTTAACCGGAACTTGGTAGTTTGATTCAGTGCTTTGTCATTCATTAGTGAATATTTTTATGTGAGAATTGTTATTGACACTCCAAAAATCTCATTCTACATTCTAAACTTTCTATATTTGGAAAGAAAAATACACTTGTGAAGAGTATATAATAAAATTTTTGGAATGCCAATAACGCTTTCCTTTTTATGTAATCTTCTTTTTTATCTATAAACACTTTACAAGGGTATTTACCAAAGTTCTAACTCAATATTTGGCTATATGAACATGATGTATTCAAATTTGGACATGCTTTTGCACTCGGAAATACCTTCGTCATGGATCCACTTTTTTATGGAATTTTTTTTCTCACGTGATTCTTCTCTTTCAATATTGAGACGGGGCTCCTTGTGTGAAGCAAGGCGTGCTGCTGCTTTAGCGCGTGGGGATAATGTGCTTCAGAGTAACTTTAAAAGAGATATCAAAAAGTTCAAATAAATAATAACGGTAAAAAAATAAACAACAGTAATGTTTTTCAATCGAGAAGCTAAATTTGACGTGATATGATATAAAATGACATCTCTTATCTTACTGCCAAATTTATTAGTAGCTTTAAAAAATAATAATTAATTATTAAATACTTTTTATTAATTTTTTATTGGGTTAATTAAACCCTTGCCTTTTAAATTATTTTCATTACCGATGCAATGTTTAAATATTTTTATACTTTTTAATGCATTTTCTTTCATTACCAATGCCCATATGTATGTGTGTGTGTACATATGTATATATTAATTTTTATTTTATGTTTAAAATTTGAAATATCGGATGGAAAATAAAACTTTAAAAATGTCAAAGTGCCACATAATCTGTCAAATGTAAATTTTATATAAAAAAAATTTGACATCTCCTTTGGAGAAGGTCCTGTCAAGGTATTTACAAAACTGGCTTATCGAAACAAGGGAACCTCAAACCTCTTTTTTTTTTTAAAGGGTAATGCTATAGAGACTAAATTTATAAACAAAATTTTGTAAACAAAATGACATAGAAGTTGACGATTGAATTATTGCTAAGTGTTGATAAATGTGCTCATTTTCTATTAATGACACATCATTTAGTTTACAAATTTTGTCTATAAATTTAATCTCCCTAGCATTACCTTTTTCTAAATCTTCTATATTTTCATTTGTTACATTGGTTCGATATTATGTTTCAAGTAGGTGGATAAATTACACACAATTTACACCGGCGGAAACAAAATACAAGCAACTCAGAAACAAGAAAATAATTAGACTATCAAATAGAGAAAATAAGAGGCGGGCGGCATTGAAGACTACAGCTATATTTCTATTTGCATCTCGAGAAATTCATATAAAATGAACAATTGGAATGTGAGAAATGTTTGGCCATTCTTCTCCTGCATCACGTTGGCATCTCCTCAAGAGATCAGGGCAGTTTATCATCACAAGATGTGTTAAGGCAGTGAGGCGATGCATGTCCGCTGGCAAAGACAACAGTTTGGGACATGATCCGAGGACAAGCCTTCTTAGCGATGTGAAACTCGTCAACCACCCAGGTAATGCCACCAAATTCTCACAATCTGATATAACCAAGACTTGTAGGGTGTTTGTGGCTCCTTGAAACCATTCAGGCAATGCCACCATTCGTGGTACTCCCACAATCCCCAATTTTTGGAGCCTTAGTGGAATTTCTTGATAGTTCTCCATCACCAAATCAAGTTGTTTACAGTTGTCTATGATCAGAGTGCGTAATGATACAAGATAACTAGTATCACACGGTAAACACGTTAGATTACTACACTCCCAAATAGAAAGATATCGAAGTGATTTCAAGCATCCCACTCCGTTCTCTGGAAAACTTGTTTGTTTTGTGGTTAATTCAAGGTATCTGAGGCTGATCAACTTGCTCATGTCTTTAGGCAACTCTTCAAGATTCACACATCCACCGAGATGCAGAGTTTGCAAGCTCTGCAACTTACAAATTGAATTGGGTAGTTCAGTGATTCCTCCATTGTCAGTGAAGTCCAGGCTTCTCAAATGCTTCAACGAACCAATGGAACTCGGCAACAATTCCCAAGATACGTTCACTAACCTAAGCACCCGTAGATATTTGAATCTTGAAATGCAAGTGTGGAGGAAGGATTCATCAATATTTTTACAACTCACTGCTGATATAGTCCGCACTTTGTTCAACTTTTGCAAGATTGTTGAAACATTTTGGCCAATTTCCAAAAATGTTAGATGTCTAACATTTTTGGAGAGGCCTATGGTGCCTTCAGAGTCTACTGTAAAACTCTCACCTTGTGCAACTGATTGTACAAGGTCATGGATGAGATCATGTATATCAAATGTATAGCAGAAAGTGCAATCTTTAACATTTTGAAAGAAAGATCTCTCCCATAACTCTTTGAAATACAGTTCACCAACATCTTCCAACTGCATATTTCCATGATCACGAGATTCAAGGATTCCATGTGCCATCCAATGACTGATTAATTCCCTGCTATCAAAATCAGTGTAATTCTTTGGAAGGATTGAACAGCAAGCAAGGCACTGCTTCAAATGAGAGGGCAATTGACTATAGCTCAGTCTCAAAGCAGGTAGAATGTGACCAGCTCCCTCTCGTTCTAATTCCCATATTTCAGAATCTTTAATTAATTGCCACTGACGCTCATCAGTCTTTGAGTAAAGTTGGCTCCCTAAGGTTTTCACAGCTAAGGGAACCCCTCCGCACTTTCTTACAATATCTTTTCCCATTTCATAGAGGATTGGATGTTGTCTTTCTTGTCCTCCTTCAAATGCACACTTTACAAACAATGACAAACTATCCTCAAAAGAGAGAACGTCTAAATTTATGTATGTTCCAACCGTGCCCATGATTGAAGCAACTGGGATATTCCGTGTCGTCACCAAAATCTTAGTTCCTACCTTGGCCCCCTCTATCAACAAATCTCTCAACTCGGTCCATTTGATACGATCTTCGTTCCATACATCATCCAGGACAAGCAGAAATTTCTTATCCTTTAAAGCGTCTCGTAGCTGTTCTTGCAACTGATCCATAGACAACCCCTCACTGATCTTTGTACCTAATGCAGAGCCAAGGATCTCTTTTGCCAATCTAGCGATATCAAAGTCTACTGACACATTCTGCCACATTCGTAAATTAAAACAACCAACGACTCTCTCATCATTGTACACCAACTTGGCAAGTGTGGTCTTCCCTAAACCTCCAAATCCCACTATAGGAATAACAGATACATTCCGATTATTTCCACCTTGATGATCATCGCCTTGTACCAAGAGATCTATAACTTCATTTTTTTCTGTTTCTCTACCAATAACCTCCGAAGCACGGACAAAGGAGTGGGTCGTATTCCTATTCTCCCTCACATGATCACCGAGATGAACAGTACGAAGATCGGAAAAATTCTTATCTTCTTTAAGCTCATGTAACCTCTCTCTTATGTCCTTAATTCCATGACATACTCCTAAGCGGAACACAACTGGATTAGAGCGGGAAAAGAAACGGCGTACCTTTCTAGTTGTGCCACTGCCACGAACCACTTGCCTTCGCAAAGCTTCGCATTCAAACTCGTCCAGCAGATCCTCTGCATCAAGGAACACATCTTTAAGTTGTAGTAGCCAACTGCGTAACTCCTTGTTACGTGCTTGCTTTTCTTCTGCATCCAAGAGCACGTCTTTGATGGTGGACATGGTGCGCCCAAGCTTTTGCAGATCCACTTTAACGCCCCACGCCAAGCAAATCTCCTCAGAAGCAATGGGGCTGAGCCTTTCAATGAGTTTGGCTGCCAACATAAATGCAAGCTCGGCCATCTTCTACTTGATGAGGTGAGCTCAAGGTAATTGAGATTTCTCTCGTCTTAATTCAGTAATGATTCTGGATCTTGGCTAAGTTATGATCAAACTCTTGATATGCTTTTGAAAAATCAACATTTACAAAGAAAGACTTGTAATATAATATGTTTCATTTTGTTTGTTAAGAAAAGTTGAGAATATTAGGAAATTACCAAGTGGTTACTGGCAAGTCTATGGTGTGGAGAACCATTGTTTAGTCGAATACCGTGGTTGTTCACAAATACACAATGTCTGGGCTGTCCCCACTCACCGACTAGTATTTTGGCATCGTTCATCGATGTGTCTTATGTGGATCAATCACTTTGGTCTGGTCATCTCAGCCGAAGAATTTCTCCTACCATGAGGTTTGGTTTGACAATTTAGTGGATTCAAGAAAAACGGACAATAAAAACAGAGGTTCGTTTATACCAACAGAGTCATTTACTTTTATCTTGGAAAATTATTACCCCTCTTGTTTTCTCCTTCTGCACTCTACCCTTTCTTAGCATTTGATTTATTTAATCCAACGGTTAGGATAAAAAAAGATGGTGTTATCTACACACCAATTTTTACCTTCCATACATCCTTTTTTAATTTTTATTATTTAATTTTTCATTAATTCATCTGATCCAACCATTAGAAATCACGAAAAATGTATGGAGGTAAAAGAAAATGCGTGGATAGTACCACTCTTAAAAAAGTGTCGAAAGATTTTCCTTTCCGCTTATCGCCCATCTGACACCATCCCGGCAGTAGGTAGGTCTGCATATATCAGACAAAACAAGAATAAGTAACAAAAATAAAACGGAGTAGGTAGGCCTTCATATTCAAGTCCTGAAGAACAATCTGTGCAAGGGCAGATTATCGAAGTTGTCGTTTGGGATCTGTACTTCGGACTCTAGCTTGCTATTCAAAGAGGCACATTTAAATTAATTATCGAGATGGACTCTACCTCTGCTGTGTTATTGTTGAACCAATCTGTATAAGGTACTTCTTTGTTTATATAGTTGCTCCGGTTTGTAAAATATGCAGAAAGTTGCTAGTGGAGCGGAGTAATAATTTGCTTAGATATGTTTAATAAGAGATGGCCTATGAAAAAAACCAGTTAAGTCATGATCCAGATTCTTACAAGGAATACTCTCTGTGGTTGCAGGATTGTGTTGCACTGACTAGACAACGAGTGATGGAGCTTCAGGCGATTTTAGATGAAGCCACCTTTGGTATGGAGATTGATTAGTTTCGTCGTCCTTCAACTCTTTAGGGGAATGTGTTATTGATTTGCAACTTCGTTCTATCCTTGTTTTGTGTTGGCATTGTTACCCTAGAGAAAGGCTTCTAAAAGGTAGAATCGTTAGTCAATTTTGGTTATTTTGTATGTCGAACGGTTATGCATTTATTTTGTTTGTTATACACCTTCGAAGTTTTAATTTTCTCATCTTCGAAGCCACCTTTGGTATGGAGATTGATTAGTTTCGTCGTCCTTCTGCTCCTTAGGGGAATGTGTTATTGATTTGCAACTTCGTTCTATCCTTGTTTTGTGTTGGCATTGGTACCCTAGAGAAAGGCTTCTAAAAGGTAGAATCGTTAGTCAATTTTGGTTATTTTTATATGTCTAACGGTTATGCATTTATTTTGTTTGTTATACACCTTCGAAGTTTTAATTTTCTCATATTTGAAGCTATTAGCAGCTGTAGGATACTCACTAATTGCTACACGCATTGCAGAATGGTTAAAATACGGAAGTATGTTTTACTTGTCGATTGAGTTTGGTACTCTTAGAAACTCGGCGTGGTAATTGGTCTCGTTAGACGAAGAATATAGAACTGAAATCTGCAGTGCAAGTGTTCATCCCGGACAGACAATATCCCAAGTATGCGGGGGAAAAGTATAGGTCCAATCGGTGCCACTAAAAAGCAAGGAAACCTGAATGAAAATTAGAGCCATCGATCTCACAATCGTGAAGATGCACATTAGATAATAGAGATGACGGAAAATAACATGAATGAATTGGTAATATCATTTTGTGGTGTTATTGTCTCATGGAAGAAGGTAAATGTACTCCTTTTTTGTTAAATCACTTTTTCTTTTGGATAATTGCTATTCACGCTTCTAGATTACATGATAAAGCTCCTTTTATCTTTTTCATCATACATGGTTTTTTATTTAGGAAAACTAATGAAAAGAGCTTGAAAACTTTGAGTTTTAATGATAAGGACAAAATAAAGGGTAAAGTGAATAGTACCATAATTGACTTTTTAGTGTAAAAATATAATTTTTCGTTAAAATGAACAGAACCGGGGGCTTTTCGTTAAAACTCTCTTTTGATTTCTAGTTTTTCGATTGAATAGCACATGGTTTTTTATTTCTAGTTTTTCGATTGAATAGCTCAAACAAAAACAACGAACAAGATTATAAAAGGTTTTGAGGGGAGAGAGAATATGCAGTCATTTCTCTAAATATACTAAATGCACATTGTTCTAGCCAATTGAGCTAAACCAACGAAATTAAATTGATTTGACATGCCTTTATGGAAAACACTCAATTTGAGGTTATTCGAAAATACTCACATTCGGAATTTTAATTGAGCCCTACACAAATTATACTATGCTCCGGTGTACTCTATTCATTTGTTTCTTTGGCCATTGAATCTGTCCAAGAACTAAAGGGCAACCCCAAACCAACAAGGCACCCAGCTTTGAGAGGGTCAGAAGGAACGTATATCGTATGCAGCCTTACTCTTGCTTTGCAAAGTGACTGTTTTTGTAATTCAAACCAAAGAAGAAACATTTCCATTGCGCCAAGCGGGTCATGCAAAAATCTCGGTATAAAATACACTGGAGTATAAACAGGACCTGCATCCAAGCGGGTCATGTGTCATTGTATTCTCCAGTTGTTTATAACTGGCTCTGATTTAACCTTGAACACAGACACACTCTCTGTCTCTGTCTGTCTGTCTCTCTCTTGGAGATTATGCTTCCGATACTTGGTCCCAGGGATTTCACACAAAAAATATCCTCCCCTTTTCTACTAAAAAGGGCACTCTTTCTAAAAAGACAAGATTTTTTTTACAATCAAATGAAATTAAGGAATCTCTCTCTCTCTCTCTCTCTCTCTCTCTCTCTCTCTCATCATCCAGTCTCCCTCAGGCCTCCTTATAAGAAATCTATTCCAGCCAATCAGAATGCAGCAAACTCCATCACAATGTCCCCAACAGATTAGATTACCACACTCCCATTGCCCACTTCTTGACTCTCTCTCTCTCTCTCTCTCTCTCCAAAAATTGTAGACCAAATTGAAACTCTACCTCATAAAATAACTTCCCTCATAATTCCCTGACTACCCATTAAGCCACGTGTCCCCAACTTCCACCACTGGCCATGAAAACCAACCGTTTCTTCCTCACTCCCCCCACCAACTGTTGTTCTGCTCTCCTCCCTCTCTTCTCCACACAAACTATAAGAATCCAATCTTCTCCAGAACCCAAAGAAAAAGAAAGAGAGCTCTCTGCTTCTCTCTCTCTCTCTCTCTCTCTCTCTCTCTCTCTCTCTACTTCTCACTCTCTAAATTCACTTTCTCACTCCTCAATTTGAAACAGAGGAGTCGTCTCTGCTGTTGATGGTGGAGAGAAGCTGATTGGCAATGGCTTCTTTGGTATCTTCACCTTTCAGCTTACCCAACACAAAAGCAGACCAACTTTCTTCCCTCTCCAGAAAGCAATACTTTCTCCACTCCTTCCTCCCCAAAAATATCAGCAATTTGGGCTCTAAGTCCTCCCTCAAAGTGAAATGTGCCATGGGCAATGGCCTCTTCACCCAAACCACCCAGGAAGTCCGCCGCATCGTCCCCGAAAACAAGCAGGGCCTCCCCACTGTCAAAATTGTCTATGTGGTCCTGGAGGCTCAGTACCAATCCTCCCTCACAGCTGCAGTCCAGTCCCTCAACGCCGGCAACCGCTATGCCTCCTTCCAAGTTGTGGGTTATCTAGTCGAAGAGCTTCGTGACGCCGACACCTATAAAATGTTCTGCCAAGACCTCGAGGACGCTAACATTTTCATTGGGTCGTTAATTTTTGTGGAGGAGCTTGCCGTCAAAGTGAAGGAGGCTGTCGAGAAGCAGAGGGACAGGATGGATGCAGTGTTGGTGTTCCCGTCAATGCCGGAGGTCATGAGGCTCAACAAGTTGGGATCTTTCAGCATGTCTCAGCTCGGCCAATCGAAAAGCCCATTCTTCCAGCTATTCAAGAGGAAGAAGCAGTCCGCCGGGTTTGCTGACAGCATGCTCAAGCTTGTGAGGACTTTGCCTAAGGTGTTGAAGTACTTGCCGAGTGATAAGGCGCAGGATGCTAGGCTTTACATTCTCAGTTTGCAGTTTTGGCTTGGAGGGTCGCCAGATAACTTGCAGAATTTTGTTAAGATGATATCCGGGTCTTATGTTCCAGCTCTAAAAGGGGAGAAGATTCCGTATTCAGACCCGGTTTTGTTTTTGGATACCGGAATTTGGCACCCTTTGGCACCCTGTATGTATGATGATGTGAAGGAGTACTTGAATTGGTATGGAACTAGGAAGGATGCCAATGAGAAGCTTAAGAGCCCGAATGCGCCTGTGGTCGGGTTGATTCTGCAGAGGAGTCACATTGTTACCGGAGATGAGAGTCACTATGTGGCTGTGATCATGGAATTGGAGGCAAGAGGGGCGAAGGTGATACCGATTTTTGCTGGTGGGCTTGACTTTTCAGGGCCGGTTGAGAGGTTTCTGATTGATCCTGTTACTAACAAGCCATTTATCCATTCTGCAATTTCGCTTACTGGTTTTGCCCTTGTTGGAGGGCCAGCAAGACAGGATCATCCACGGGCCGTTGAAGCTCTGATGAAGCTCGACGTTCCATACATTGTCGCGTTGCCTTTAGTGTTCCAAACAACTGAGGAGTGGTTGAATAGCACTTTGGGTTTGCACCCAATTCAGGTGGCCTTGCAGGTGGCTCTCCCAGAGCTGGACGGAGGCATGGAGCCCATCGTTTTCGCTGGCCGGGATCCTAGAACAGGTCAGTAAAGCTTCATTCTCTTACAATGTCCATAATTTATAACCAGTCTTCAATTAGCACTTTGGAATGACTACTAAAGAGAAAGCCAGAAAGATAAACGGCTTTTTGTTTGGAACGCTAAACCGAAAAAATTAATCTTTCCGTGCTTTAACTGAATGAGTGAACCAAAGTTATTTACCTACCTTAGTGCTTAGGCAGTTAACTCCTACTTGTTTCCACTTCCCTTGCTGTTCTGGTTGTCTCTGTTCCTCTTCGCGTGAACCGCTGTAGTCGAAATTTACCAAGTGTTGCTGAATATTGTAATGTGATTGCAGGGAAATCACATGCTCTTCACAAGAGGGTAGAACAGCTCTGCACCAGGGCAATCAGATGGGGTGAACTGAAAAGGAAGACAAAGGTATGTACTTTTACGTTTTATTATTTCTTTGTAAAACAAAGGAAGTCGCTTCGAGCACCTGACATGAAACTGAAAGAACTTTCATGCCTATTTTCGATATACAATATTATAATTGCATATATCTTTAGAAATGCCTACAAAAGAAAGGAACTTATTTCATGAATCCGCACTTCTTCGGCTCCTGGGGGAGGGTTCGGGGTATTAAGCAGGCATATCAAGAATTATTATGAACATGAAAACTTTGAATACGCCTTGAGTTTCATGCTTTGTGTTAGTCATTGCTTAAGAATCTAAGATAGAAATTTGATCACAACGAGGATGAAAAAAAATTAAAGTACCTTTAAACTTTGGCTGGTAGAATGCCATATAGGCCGGGTTCTTTAATACTCTGATGCGGTCGTGGATGATTCCTCTTCCCCTCCATGCTATGATATCATCAACAGTTCACGAGTAAAATGTATTTCTTAAGCATGATGTCTTCAACCTGTGATTATTCACTGAATAAACTTTGTACGTTGATGCAGGCAGAGAAGAAGGTAGCTATCACCGTCTTCAGTTTCCCTCCAGACAAAGGAAATGTTGGAACAGCTGCCTACCTCAATGTTTTCTCCTCAATCTTCGCTGTTCTGCTAGAACTCAAGAGAGATGGTTACAACGTTGAGAACCTTCCAGAGACTTCAGATGCCTTGATTGAGGATGTAATTCATGACAAAGAAGCTCAATTCAGCAGCCCAAATCTGAATGTTGCTTACAAGATGGGGGTCCGTGAATATCAAAGTCTGACTCCATATGCCACTGCGTTGGAGGAAAACTGGGGAAAACCCCCTGGTAACCTCAACTCCGATGGAGAGAATCTATTGGTATATGGAAAACAGTACGGAAATGTCTTCATCGGGGTCAGCCCACATTTGGCTATGAGGGTGATCCGATGAGGCTACTGTTCTCCAAATCTGCTAGCCCACATCACGGCTTTGCAGCATACTATTCATTTGTTGAAAAGATTTTCCAAGCTGATGCTGTTCTACATTTCGGTACACATGGTTCACTTGAATTCATGCCTGGAAAACAGGTGGGAATGAGTGACGCCTGTTTCCCGGACAGTCTGATTGGGAACATTCCCAATGTCTATTACTATGCTGCTAACAACCCATCTGAAGCTACAATAGCTAAACGTCGGAGCTATGCCAACACTATCAGCTATCTGACTCCTCCTGCAGAAAATGCTGGACTTTATAAAGGTCTTAAGCAGTTGAGTGAGCTCATCTCCTCCTACCAATCCCTGAAAGACACAGGCCGTGGGTCACAGATTGTTAGCTCAATAATCAGCACAGCCAAGCAGTGCAATCTTGACAAGGACGTAGACCTACCTGAAGAAGGAATGGAAATCTCAGCAAAAGAACGAGATCTTGTGGTTGGAAAGGTGTATTCCAAAATCATGGAGATTGAGTCTCGCCTGTTGCCTTGTGGGCTTCACGTCATTGGTGAGCCTCCAACAGCCATGGAAGCAGTTGCAACTCTGGTTAATATTGCTGCACTTGACCGTCCAGAGGAAGGGATTTCTTCCCTCCCATCTATATTAGCTGAGACAGCCGGAAGAGACATAGAGGATATTTACAGAAGCAGCGATAAAGGGATATTGAAGGATGTAGAGCTTCTTCGGCAAATAACAGACACATCACGGGGAGCAATTTATGCATTTGTGGAGCGTACGACGAATAGCAAGGGCCAGGTAGTTGACGTTGCTGATAAACTGACCTCAATCCTTGGGTTCGGAATAAACGAACCTTGGGTGCAGTACTTGTCAAACACAAAATTTTACAGGGCTGATAGGGAGAAGCTCAGAACGTTGTTCGTGTTCTTGGCAGAATGCTTGAAGCTAATTGTGGCAGACAATGAGATAGGGAGTTTAAAACAAGCATTGGAGGGTAAATATGTAGAGCCAGGTCCCGGTGGTGATCCGATACGAAACCCGAAAGTGTTGCCAACAGGAAAGAATATTCATGCACTTGATCCACAATCTATTCCCACAACGGCAGCAATGCAGAGTGCAAAAATTGTGGTGGAGAGGCTGATAGAGAGGCAGAGGATCGATAACGGGGGAAAGTATCCTGAGACTGTAGCACTCGTTTTGTGGGGTACAGACAATATCAAGACTTATGGTGAGTCCTTGGCTCAGGTTTTGTGGATGGTGGGTGTATTACCAGTTGCTGATGCCTTCGGACGGGTCAACCGGGTGGAGATAGTACCTCTTGAAGAGCTTGGAAGACCGAGGATTGATGTTGTTGTCAACTGCTCAGGCGTCTTCAGAGACCTGTTCATCAATCAGGTATTGTCCCTCTCTCTGCTTCCCATTACTTGTGGTAAATGTTAGAAACATATGGCACTCACAGTATATAAAATAGTTACTTACGATTCTTCACCGAAATCTTATTGTCTGCAGATGAATCTGCTTGACCGGGCAGTGAAGATGGTAGCTGAACTAGACGAGCCAGTGGAGCAAAACTTTATCAGGAAGCACGCACTGGAGCAAGCAGAAACCCTAGGAATAGGGGTTCGTGAAGCTGCAACTCGTATCTTCTCCAATGCCTCGGGATCCTATTCCTCCAATATAAATCTTGCTGTGGAGAACTCCTCGTGGAATGATGAGAAGCAGCTGCAAGACATGTATCTAAGCCGGAAGTCATTTGCTTTTGATTCTGATGCCCCTGGTGTAGGCATGGCTGAGAACAGGAAAGTTTTTGAGATGGCTCTGAGCACAGCTGAGGCAACATTCCAAAACCTTGACTCGTCGGAGATCTCACTCACTGATGTGAGTCACTACTTTGACTCAGATCCAACCAATCTGGTGCAAAGCCTAAGGAAGGATGGAAAGAAACCCAGTGCTTACATTGCTGACACCACCACAGGCTAATGCCCAGGTGAGAATCGATACACTACGTGTACTAGATTATTCAACTCTAAGTTCAGACTTTTAGCTGGGGAATGATTTAGCAGATTATACCGCAGAAGCTCGGAATACACAAAAAATACAAAGTTCCTAATTAACAAGCTCGTCTTGCAATGCAGGTTCGCACGCTCTCTGAGACCGTACGTCTTGATGCAAGGACCAAGTTGTTGAACCCTAAGTGGTACGAGGGGATGTTATCTAGCGGATACGAGGGTGTTCGTGAAATTGAGAAAAGGCTGACTAACACGGTTGGGTGGAGTGCAACTTCTGGCCAAGTTGACAACTGGGTGTACGAAGAGGCCAACACAACTTTCATTCAAGACAAGGAGATGTTGGAAAGGCTCATGAAAACAAATCCAAACTCCTTCAGGAAGCTGGTACAGACATTCCTTGAGGCCAACGGACGTGGTTACTGGGACACTGCAGAGGAGAACATTGAGAAGCTGAAAGAGCTGTACCAAGAAGTTGAAGACAAAATTGAGGGAATCGATCGGTAAACTCATACTTATTGTTGAGAACACTGTAAATTAATTTGAAAATATCAGTAACACTACGATTTACTTGAGCTCCTCTCTCCCCCTTCCCTTCCTCCAGCTCCTCCTTCCAAAAGGAGCATAGGCAAAGCCTCTAGGAACTGTCTAGTGTCTAATGTCAACTCTTTAACCAGTTCCCCACTGTAGTTCAATCCGTCAGGGATATGTATCTGTACTGCTACTTGCAGAATTTGAAGTCCGACAAATACATGTTTTCACAATTTGTCAAACGCATTCTCCACATTATCTGTTAACTCTCAGTTCCCATGCATTGACAACTCTCAAATGCTAGAATAACAGAAACAGTATTGATTACTATCAGGTTCTTAATCTGATGACAGTAGGGTTAGTGATTTCGGGTCGTGACCCTTCCATCACAGAAGGATGGTCATGAGTGAAATCACACAATCTTACTCATTGCCCCGACTGATATTACACTTTGGGATTTTTGTAACAACGAGTTGCAAAAGAAATATCGTTAATCCTCTGCTATCTACCTTTCCCCTGAATTAGTAAGAGAGTAAGAGACATCGACTATCTAACCACTACAATCTTGCTGAGCTAACTCTTACTAGTAATTGTTGGAGAACAATTTAGAAACAAAAAATAACAGAAATACAGAACTTGAAATACTTATACTTTATTATTCAAAGACACTTGCATTACAGAATGAAATTACACAATAAATACAAAAATTAAAATGATAATAACTTGAATGAATCAAAGTAAAGGCTAGCGCAAAAGTTATGTCCTTCAAATAGTATTTCCGTCCCACTCTTGTGCTTGTGGTTCTACGTCTGTTCAACCAGGATACAACCACCTAATTCTACAACCTGCACTAGATTATAGAATTCTAGCGAATTGCTTTGTGTGTTTACTCTCTTGAATGTTTGTCCGGAAGAGAAGGAAAGGAAAAAAGATTATATTAGATGGAACTGAGGACCAATTATATAGGCTATTTCATAGCTCTTCAAATACTTTGTGGATGTATCTGAAGCTATACAACTCTTTCCAAAGAGTTGTGTCTATTAATCAAAACGTTTTTAATTAATTTATTAAAAACTTAATTCGAAATTAAAAGTAATTGATCAAATGCCCTTGTCTTGATTAATTATATATTAATATTATGGTATAATCATCAAGCCTAATCCACACAATTAGTGGCCCAAACCTCAATCCAAATGGGCCAACACCTAATCACTAATAAAAAGGACTTGACTTATATAATGGCCTTTGATAAATTGTGGTTTCCCGATGTGGGACAATGGGAGCTCAAAACTCCATCAGTAATGTGTTATGAGAATGATACCTTCTGCTTTCTCTAATATAATCTTCAAAAATTCCCAACTAATTACATCTAAGCTCTTTTCAACTTTTAATTTTAAAAAACAAGAAATCTTAAAAAAAAGAGTTTGAATGTTTTATTTTCATGATGTCCACCCCGACTCACCAAGACGAAATTTAAGTATTTTATGTTTTGTCAGAATTTCAGTGCATTTCAATTTCTAGCAAAACAAGCACAGCATTTCATAATTCCTGGATACTCTTTGGTTTTGAAGGCCAAACATAAAGGCTGGACAGTTAGCCATCTGTACAGCTAAGTTTGCGGGAGTTTAATATTTCCAAGATGATAAACATTTTAACAAAAATCCAACTGTACCAGTTTCAAGAATTTGAATCAATCTACAGAGTCAATGTTGGATAGTAGAATACACAATTCTAATTTCATAAATTGATGAGCAAAAAGGAGACAGATGAATACATCTTTTTTTTCTTTTCTTTTTTTTTGGGGTGGGGGGGGGGGGGGGCGCGGGGGGATCTTCAATCAGTAATGAATGGTAAAACGTAAACCTACAGAAAATGAAAAAAAAAAAAAGAAAAAAGATGCCCCCTAAAAAATGAAAAAAGAGTTCTGTATGACAGTTAACGAAATGGTACATGTTTCTTTGTTACTCCCTTTTCATGGTATTTTAAATTTTAGTACCAAAAGAGATGAAGTTACCTTCAAACTAACTCCATTAGGAGAGGGTCACCTTCTGCCATTACTCTTATTAGTTTAATGAACTCTTGTTCGCTAGTCACATTGCATGGGTGAACCGCAGGTACTTTAGCCGAATATAAGGATGAAGAATTAGCAGAAGGTGGTTGTTCCTCATAGATCATTGTACTGAGCACTGAGTCAAAGTTCTGAGGTGAATCTATTGCTTGAAAGAACATTGGAATGGCAACCTTGTGATGAATTTCTAGGTTTCCGACTAGATTAACAAGATCGACAAAGTCAGCTACAAACCGACGAGGAATGTAGAACACCTCAGAACTGCAAATTGTGATGCTCTTGTGACTGGTTACACTGTTCTTATAACTGACTTGGAAGTGAACTGGCATCATACTAACAACCTTCTTTACCATGCCTGCTTGCTTTGAAAACCAATCTGAGTTGTCGTTTGTTGATACTATACTCCAGGACTTGGATACCTGAATCCCATTGAATTGTGAGGGAGAGAGCGATACTACAATGATTTGAATTTGAATTTGAACTTGGTATTTATTTCCTTTTATGGAAGGCTTATACGTGCGTAAAGAAATGCCGAAACGGGTTAATAAAAGTCATGTTACCTCATTTGTAATCCACAATTTAGTTTTGTCTGCCTGTAGAAGATTCCAGTAATTAAGAATAGTATTGTCCTGAACAAATAAAAATCCATCTGCACCGGAATATCGATCAAATATTTTGGGCATGTACCTATAAAGAAACATTAAAAAGCACAACGAGAAAATTAGTAATGGCCCACCTTAACTGATAGGTTAGGCTTTCACCAAAATGCTAGAAAAATATTAGGATTTCACATATAACCATTTCTGCCATCAATATTAACAATGAAAATGAATGCCTATGGAAAAGTAAAATTGACAGCGGAACTACCAAACTTGCTTTCTAAAGAAGCAATTCAACAGTGCTTCAACTAAAAGCATACTTTGTAACAGACGCTATGCACAGATTCTGATAGTCTAAAATATAGAATTCGGGGTTACAGGACCTGCTTCTGAAGCTGCCTTCAGTTAACTCATCTTATTTAGCGGAAATTCTATAAATGTAACTAGCATATGGGACATACCAAGAAAAAAAAAAATTCTCCTCTAAAATTAAAATCTTTTCTAAACCGCATGGTTTTTGGGTATAACTAATACCAACCATTAACTGCGGCAATTCAACAATATCACAATCAGGAAGACAACCAATTGAATCTCGAATTCTGGTAACAAGTTATTGAATATGTTGTGGGATCAATAATGCAGATATCTACCAAAAAATATATAAATGTAGCCCAAGACTACAACCCCTTTAAGTGATGAAAATTTCTGCACTGTGCCTTCAAGAAATGAACAGAGCTAAGAATGAATCTGCTACTTGATGACAAAAACCTATACTGTTGGCATCAATCCCAAAGTTCTCATAGATGATGAACTCGTGTAACTTAGCTAGGTCACTGATGCTACTAATTATTCATAAATGACATGTACCCACCACCTATATTAAATTTCATACAAGTAAATTTCTAATATTAACTGCAAATGGATCCAGTTATATGAATTTGCATGCCTCAAAAGATGCCCTACTTTTACTGTTAACTGCACGTTTAAGTTCCTATTATCATCCGCTACTAAGCCTAATTAAGTCTTAAACTATGAGAACTCCAATACAACTATATCAAGATGGTTTATTCCAGTACTTATTGCAACAATTAATCAAAACCCTTAAAAATAGAAAACTCAAATGTCCAGAATTTTGATATCACTTAAACTTGTACCTAACCTAATCCCTGGATTAATGTTTCTAAATCAAACACAAGTTTCAATTGATTAGTACAGCATCCCCTTCTCTTCTTAATCCTTACTCCCCAGCTACCCAGAAGAATATACGAAGTGGAACTGGATAATTAAACATGATTAAAAACCAACAAAGTAATCTAGTAAAAGCAATATAAGCAAGATGAGGTTCAAATTCATGAGAAAAACGACTTACTTGTATACATTCTCCAATTTTCCTTCTTCAACAGCAAGGTCAGTGTTCTTTAGATCAGACAAAATGATCACAGTTTTAAATATCCGCCCATATAGCAATCTCCATTCCAAAGCAGTACGTTCCACAGGTCCACTGCAAAACATGATAAGCACAACATTCCCGAAATTCTTCCTCCATCTAATCAAATTTCCGATTTCATAGTTCACTGTTCCTGATTCCTCAACTCCAAGATGAACAGATGGAAACTTTTGCGGGACAAACTCTTTTGTATCCCCATGACCAATATTTGCACGAGGCCGATCCAATTCCAATGACATTAATCTAGGCTGCTGATACCCTACAGCAATTAAGTCATGAAGCCAAGCAGCAGTATACTTCAGATCCTTCTCAGTCCAAAACCCCTCTTCTGCCATGGCAAAACTTAACTCCAAAATCTTTTCAAACAACCTATGCTTACCCGATCTCCAGGAAACCAAAAATTTGATCAAACGTCCTACATTAACATGAAGATCCTTCTCTTCAGAAAAGGGGTATGCCTGAATTCTATCATACCGATGAACAGTTGGGGGATAAACTACAACATATCCACCTATTTCCCACAAAAGCCTCTGCCCCCAGTAACCCCTTAATATATCAGAAGCCATTGTGCTAACAGAAACAGGAAGCATCAAACCCCAAAATGCCGATGAATGGTAAATTGTATTGAAAGAATTAACAGGCACCATTGTTCCCTGCGGCAACGCCACTTTCGGGGCATGGTCATCAAACCTAATATCAAAAGCTTCCAAACCCGATTTTCGTGTAAAATAAAACACAGAATCGACATCAGGAAGTCCATTGGATACACCCTGTTGTATAAACTGCTTTCCACCAAAAACCTCAGTGTAGAACTCTTCATGGCCAAGCTCACCAACTTTCTCCAATGGCAAACCTCTCGGCCACACAGAGCGTTGCCCGAAATGAATATACGGGTTCACAATAGTCCTATTGGGATTCTCATGGCTATACTGCAATATAGTCTCCTGCCTAGCACCCTCTCCCATCAACTCCACATCAAAATGTTTACTCAAATCATCACCAACCACCTCTCCGCGATCATCAGCGTCGAAGATCATCTTCGCGCCATGCTGGATAGCAAACAAGTAACCCACACTCTTCCTAACATAAGAATCATAAGGCAAGTACTCCACAACCCTAAAACCCAATTGAGCTTGTTGTTCAAGGGACAGAAAGATAGCACCTTTGAGGCTCCAATCCGACGGCGTTTTGGAGTTCCCGATTGCCAGGACCTGCCACCCCTTGAGCTTCACGAGCTTCTTGAGCGAGTCGGTCGGGTAATCGGAAACGGAAACGACAACCCACTTCTCAGATCGGAAGCTGGCGTAGGGAGACGACGTGTCGGAGATTGTCTTGACGGTGGATTCAAGCTGCGGCATCCGAATCTTCTCGAGGTTCTGGGCCTGGGTCTCGAAGCAGAGCAAGGCGGCGGTGTCGCCAATATTACGGAGGACGAAAAGGGCGGCGACGGTGGCGATCAGAAGCACGACGGTGACAATTTTGTACAGATTCTCGGAAACCCATGTGGAGAAATCGAGATTCGGAGCGAAGGAAAGGGATGCTCTGCTCTGAGAGTTGGAGTGTGCGTACTTTGGGGATTTGGGTCCGTTGCGTTCTTGGACCAACATTGAAACGAAATGCAAAACTCCAAATTCCCAAAACCCCAAATTTATCTCTCCCTCCTCACTCCTCTCCTCAGTCAGAAATGCCTTGACTCAGAAGCTGTATCGACAAGCATTGAGCTCCTATCGACAAACATCCACTCGCAGCGCGGCTTCTGTTCAGTAACAAGATGTCGTGAGCTGAGCTGCCGGCTGCGTGTGATTTGAGCAAGCTGTTGAGCGATTGCTTTCTTTCTCGCTCAAGTGGTTGCAATGCCGACAGGTGCGCTAAGAATTGGACAGAAAGAGAGTAACTTAAATTTCAAGTCTTGGTCCTGCAGTTTGGTGGGGGCCGGGGGAGGTCTGGACTTGCAGTTGGTTCTTCTCGATTGCAGGCAGCTCTGCAAACCATTGGATCGATTGTGTATTTGAGAAATTTAATATGTGATTCGTATGAATAACGAGTAATAAATTATATGGTTTAGCTCATACTTCTTACAATTAAATATATAGGAATTTGCACGAATATCACTTAAACTTTGCTTGTGTACGTATTTACCATCTGAATTTTAATTTTTTTAAGGAATCAGCTGAATTTTGCATTATGTTGTAATATATCATCCGCTGTTACAATTTTTATTAACTGATGATGTGGACCACATAGATCCTACATCTCGCGTGATATGGACTCTATGTGTGCACCGTTTTGATAAAAATTAGTTTATTTTTTTAATTTAGAAAAATAACAAATAACAAATAAGAACCCTTCAACTTAACCACATTATCCCCCTCACGTCGTTGAATCCATATTTGTGATGTATATAGCTTGGAGGTTCAGAAGTCGTGGATCATATGCGACTTGGTCAAGTTTGTAGGTGGCTCCACTAATAATTGTTGATTTCGTATAGATATAGTAGGAGAATAAAGTCGTAGGGCAAGGGAGGTTGGTTGCCGTACGAGTTGATGGTTGATGAAGGAAAGACATCATCTGTTTTTATTTTATGTTAATTTATAATATTTTTGTCACTTAGTACTATCGTTTAGTGGTATTCGTCTTTATTTGTAAGTGAAATGTCTTAGGTTCGATTCACGCCAAAGGCGAATTTCAATCACATATTGCTAGTTCATTGTGAGGCTTAGCCTACTTTTTCACCCCTTAGTGTAGATAATATCGTTTGTTAAAAAATAGTTTTTGATATTTTTAATTAATAAATATTTATTTACCACGTGACATCTATGTTGGAACCAAATTTGCGCACCACTCTGTGTTGAGGAGATGCACAAATCTGTTTAACCTGTAAAGGACAAACAAAATTGAGCAATTAAAGACCAGGGGGTGGCGGCGGCCAAAGGCCCTACGACAATCAAGTTAGCAAGTAAATACTTGAGACTCAAGCATTAGGCAAGAAAATATGTGTGCAATAATTGTGTTACCAAAGATGAACCCTATAAGGGTGTATTGTTACCTGTCAAGATATGATCCTTTTAGAATATGGAATCCGTATTAAACCAGGAGAATCTCATAGGATATCTAAGAGTAAATATTGCATCTTTTTAGGAATATGATTACTTGGTGCGTACGTCAATCCTTAGGTTGTAAGGATTCCAAGAATATAAGAAACCTAACTGATTCCTTATTAGATTAGGTTTTTGTGTTCTTTAGAACAAGCATGGTCAATCTCAATGAAATCGTTGGATTTTGTACACTGCTCTGGAATAGATGATGGTTTTGCTCCTCACTCTGTAATTCTTAACACAACATTTCCTCAAGTGCCAACTCCGTCCAAGTTGCTATCCACACCTTTAATCTCACATAACATCTCCACATCCTGATTTAAAACAAAAAGGTCAAATGTACTATTATTTATCATATGATTCTCAAAGAAATTAGAAGTCACAGAATTGAAATTAGCACCAAAGGCATAGTAATTTGTAAAGCTAGTTGATTTAATGAAATCAACTTCAGGGTCATGAGTATAAAGATCATCAGCCTCACCGTGAGGCCAAAGACCATGATTGTTCCTTATCCTGAACAAATTATCTACTAAGGTACTTAACCCCAAGGAAACAGAGTCCTTGTAAGGATTTGCCATCCAGTTCTAAGCCAGGTCAGCTCTAGAGACCCGATCCCTGCAAACACCTCTTGCAGCATCACTGTATCTTCCCACTTCGAACGTACTCGTGGTCTTTTTCTTCCTTCTAAAAACTATTGTAGTCCAACCGTCATGCAAGTTAAGAAGAAAGAATGAACGTAAATAAAATATATAAATTTAAATGTAATGGAATATGCAAATAGGGGAACGTGTTCAAAGCATATAACTAATCAATAATACTACGAAAAGAATATTATAAAAATGTACGATTGCAAAGAAAGGGGTTCTATGCCGAAATGACTCGAAAATACCGATATGGGAATGCCGCAACACCAGGATTGTACACCTTGATTTTAAGTCCTGAAGGGGCACAAAACAAAGCGTGAGTGAACCAATTTAATATAAATAATAATAAGAAGGAGAAGAAAACTGTTTTCCTTTTTTAACATACTAACCCCCTATTTTGAAAACACATATAGCATAATATGTAATAGATTTTCCAAAAACCTTAGCATGCTATAAAAACATTTGTAAACCGTGTATGGATAAAACAGTACTCAGTAATGGTAACATAGTCGTCCGGAGGCAAATCCATAAAACTTTCGGAAATAATAAAATAGTGTACTTAACTAGTGATATCATAGTTGCTCGAAAGCATATCTGTCACCCAAGGGTGAAGCTGTATGACAATGGGTTACGCCAGTGAAGAAACATGGTAGTTGTATGACTTTGGTTACACCAAAGAAGAAAATGTAAATAACACACTGACACTAGCCATGGCTAGTGAAGCTATCCGACATTGGTTTTGCTAGTGAAGCAAGGAGTATGTCATAAAACATCTCACTACTCATCAAACTATGTTCTATAGCCACAGATAGATACATACTCGTGTTGTGTATATGTGTTGTATGATTACCCACTAAGTAAGCACATAAAACACGTCTTTAAATCAAATTGGAGCTCAAAAGCTCACTCATCATATCATCATCATAAACCATAATAAATCAATCATGTGAAGCCATAAATTTATATCCATAAATCCATCATTATATTGTAAAGCGTACCATGGTTCGTAAATCTCTTGTAAACGTAAATTCAATGAATCGTAAATAAATCATGAAACCATGCTTTTCATGAATGCAAGCCTAACATTTAATAAAAATCATGCAATTTAAGAAGGGGTCTACTCACAGATACTCCGTCACTGAAGAGTCATGCCAACTAGAGAAGATGGGGTCACCACTAACAAACACACCTAAGCACATAAAAGAACCAATTAGTAAAATCCTACTAAAACGATTGAATTTGGGAAAAACGAAGCACGAATTTGGAATCAAAGCGTCAAATTACCCTAAGAGGGTTCTTGGAAAAATTTTGTAAAAAGTATATGAAAAAGTCAATCGAGACGTCGAGCTAGTCAACTACGTAAAACTTCGAAATTTCACTAAAGGGACTTGGGGCATCGAAATTAGCCTAGGAGGGATCCTAGTCAAAACCCAAAAAAGTCAACATTGACGATCAACGATCAACGGTGACCGAGAAGTCAACGGCTAACCTAGCTGAGCCGAGTCATCGGTGCTCACACTAGAATCTGGAATTTTTGACCAAAATTTCAAGGTAAACTTTAAATCACTATAACTCACTCGTTTCTTAACCAAATTCAACCCATGATATATCAAAACGAAACTAGAGAAGAGTAAAACATGTTTATACTTGTTTGGAATCCAAATGGTGGCCGAAGGTAGACGAAGAATGGCATGAAAGGCAACATGTCTGCAAGAAAACTAGGAAAATTTCAAGCGTCCATAACTTTGTCATTCAACCAAATTCAATGATCCAAACATGAAAATTCATCTACAGAATATGATAAATCAATTTATACCAGTTTGAAGTCTACAAGATCACTGGAATTTGTATAAATCTCGCCTAGAAGTCTCAGCCCAAAACCTTGTTCTTGGAATCGCGTTTGTCTACGGATTTTCGGGAAATAAATAATGTTTTCTCGTTTCTAAGGTCGAGAGAAGGGATTTGATGGTGATTTTAGTGTTCAAAAACTCGTGGGAAAGGTTTAATGGTGATTGTGTGTGTGTATTTTCGCATGGGAAAACAAGAGAGAGTGAGAGAAATGTGAGAGGGACTAAGAAGAAAATAGAGGGAGAGAGAAATGAGGGTGAGAAGAGAGGGAGTGTAAGTGTCAGGGGAGGGAAAGGGAAACCAGGGGAACAAAGGGACCAATGTGGGTCATAATGGCTCACAAAATAAGACCACTAAAGACAAAACGCAAAATATCTTCACAAAAGTAAAATTACCAATTTACTCTCGACATTCCGAAAACTGTAAAATTAGGGACGGGTTATTACATTAGATCTTCTAAATCAAGCTCTTGATTTAAGTCATCCCCAAAACATCGATCACCTTTTCATCTAGATTGACTGGTTAAGGAAAACAGAGCATATCATCTTCTTGGAGCGCCTCATTGATATCACTATCCACTCTAGCATACTCAGGATAAACCACAAGTTCATCCTCAAAACACGATTTATAAGAAAGCAGCCTTTATCAAAATCATCCTTTGGACAGACATGTCCTTGTAAGCTTCTTCATCCACAATAAAAGCAGACTTTAAACAAATTTCTCATAACTAACCAATATCTGATTGTCCTAATCCTTGCTAATAATAAGCATTCTCTTAAAAGTAAAATGTAAATTGACTTCCATCAAAATCTGGACAAAAAGTCCATTCAATCTCATCCACCTTGACGGTAACACCCATAGGCTGAAAAATATCAGTAATGATTCGTTGCTCATGAAACTAAATAGGTAGTCTGGGTAAACGAACCCAACCCCAAAGGCTGAAAATTTACCTTTTGACATACCATGGGCTATTATCTAACATAAACTACAATTCATTTTCATCAGTGAACTCAACCGCAAACAATCTGTGACCAAAGTGGTCTAAATAAAACTAGTCCTTGACTCCAGTCTTCTAAATTTAGCTCATCTTCCATTTAATCAATTTAGCTTCCAAGTTGACATGCCCCGATCCTGGTGTCTGAAGGATAACGGGATGGCCGTGTGCTGGCCAACACCCAAGGGTGATGCAAGCCATTTTATGAATGCATATGTCAATAACATATGAAACATGCATATAATTTTCGCGCGTAACAATGCAATATAGTAATCAAGTACAAACCTTAATAAAATATAATATTCAACTACCAACAATGTAAAAGTGATAATGCATGACATGTTCAGAGCATACAACTAATTCGAAATACAAGCGGAAGGAATATTAGAAAGTGCGATTACAAGAGGAATGAGTCCTACACTGAGAAGACTCGAAGATACCAATGCAGGAGTGTATTGACGCTGGGATTGTATGCCTCGATTCTAAATTCTGAAAGGGTGTAAAACAAAACATGAGTGGACCAAGTTTATATATCTCTATATACTAAAACTCAATCGGGTGGTTAGTGTGGATGACCAGTGTGTGGACTCTTTTGCCCTTCAATTTTTTCCTTTATTGTCTCTTCTGTTGCCTCTTTTGTACAATGACTTGACTTAATTGTCCTTCATTGAATCTCTGTTTTTCCCTTATGTTTTGCTGTTTGTTGTTAGCAGTGAAATGTCTATCTTGCACTTGGGTTTCCTTTTGTTTTTCGTTGTTCTCTGTTTCTAGGCACAATGGAAGGACGAGATTATCCCATCCACGTGTTGATCATCGTCAATTGGTTCTTTTGGTTTCTCTTGTTCATCTTTTATTTTCGTCTTTTATTCTCTTTTGGTCTTCTCTATCCCTCTCAAATCTTTTATTCTTTCACTCTTCGTTTTTTGCTTTCATTGTTGATGAATTTGTGTTTTGTCGATGTCCGTCGTCGTCTCATGTTGTTTTGAAAATTTAGCTTGCTCAGAAGATATCAAAGTTTGTGAGTTTTTTCAGATTTTTACTTTTCCTGCTGTTATGGGTTTTTGTGAGGGATTGAATAAGACAAAAAGTTTGGTTTTTGGTTCTGGGAGAATGACCTGGGTTGTTTCTTGAAGAACAGAGAGTGCCTTTAAGCAGAGAGTTAGGTTGGGAGTGTGTGGGAGGGGAACTCAGTTTGTACCCATTTTTTGGCCCATTAGTTTGTTCTTTCCCCGCTTTTCCATCTGTTCCTTTTTTTTTGTTGTTTATGATTTATGCTTTGAATTTTTTGTTTGTTTCATTTCTTATGTGAATATGTTTTCTTCTTGCTTTGTAATCATCATTATTAAAGTCATATGTGTTTATGTGTGGTGCAGGGCCAGTGTATTCAATATGCTTTCAGTCATGAGGGAATCTAGTTGATAAGGTAATGGATTTAACAAATTTTATGTGGTGTTACTTTTCATTTTTGTTCTATATCCATTTGGTATCACCGTTTAATACTGGATGTAAGAATAAAATTAAGGAATCTTCGTTTTCAATAATATAATTGCCAGTTAAATTGCCATGGTTCTTAGAAGAATAAAATATCATAAAAGAAGAAAGGGCCCAATTCTGATTCGGGTTTAATTTTCAAGAACACATATAATGTTCCTGGACAGTAGCAGGCATTTTCTGGTTTCCTAAAAAGCCAGAAACATCTGAAGTCATATTCAATTGTTGTTGGAAAGTTAAATGAAGTTGGAAATATCTTGTCATTTGTCTAGCAATTGTGTTTGCACATTTTGGATTTCTTTATTTGTGTATAGGTTACTTAGATATTAGTGTATACTTCTTTTGTCATTGTTAATTTTGGAATGAGAGTTGTATATAATGGTGTTTGGTTTGTTAAAAGGCATAATAGTTTTCCATTCAGTTTAATACCATTTTAAGTTGGTGTTGGTTTACACATAATTTTCAGCATTTTCCGCGTTGGTTCTCATTCAAATTTTGTTAAAACCTATAGATTGTTCAACTAGTTACAAACTGTTGCTATATATTATTCATATCAAAGAGGAAAACATTTTTAGATTACTTTGAAATATAGCTATGAAAACATTGCTTATTTTTTGTTACAACAAGCATTTATCACCTACACTATCGACTTTCCTTAATGTTTACTCTGCATTTGACAGGTATTTTTAAAGTTTATTTCGCTCATGGAAAAAAAAAAACTATGAAATTAAGGCCCGTGCTGTGAAGTCAACCTTTCTGTTAAAAAAAAAGGTATGATTTTTTTCATACCTGAGTTCAAATATGATTTCAAACCTAAGTTCAAATCCTATTTTTGAGCTTCTGTTTTGTCGTTAATCAACTAAAGCTCAAATATTTCCTACATGTCTTAAATTTGGATTAGTCTCTATATCGAAATACATACATTGAACAAATATTCACTAGTCCTTTACAATGATGATCAATTAGTTTAGTTCATGGATATAATGGGTATATTGACAAAGGCTCAAATTGTATTTAAATGGTAACTCTTCTGTTAGATGAGCGAATTTAACTTTTTATTCTTATTTTTAAATAAATCCGTCTTTTCTTTTGCGGTTGTTTTCAAATTTGTCTTATGGTGATTCTTAGGTTTGTAAAATTTATATTCTCTTTCACCAGCTTAAATGGAAACCGTGAAGCTTACTCCTATTTGCTGAATTACGTCTGTACACTAAAACAGAGAAAATAAAGATTTGTGTGTGTAGGACATGGAAATCAAACATTTCTGCAAGTGATAAAAAACATGTGACATTCCACTGTATCTTAGTTGATGAAACAGTACGTGATCATTGTCTTATAATTTTAATTAAGAATTTTAACATCAATATTTATGTCATTGGTTTTCTTTTCGTTTATTTATTTGTTGATTTATATTTATGTTTTTATGGTTTTCTTTTCTGTTTCATTCTTATGTGTTTATAAATTGTTTTATAAATGTTTTTTTTTTCTGATGATTTACATATTTTAAATGAATCTATTTACTGATTCTATCATTATTAATTTTGCTCTCTTTGTTTTCCTGGATATAACCAATTGTGAAGAACAATGCGGTTAAAGCTTATGCGTCAGATATTGATTATGAAGTTGTTGCCTTAAAGATTCAGGTTGGTGATTGCTATGAAGTCATGAATTTTTGAACGATCAAGATCAGATGGCAATATAAAGTCATGCCACATGATACGTAACTTATATTCACTGCTAAAACAATGTTTATAAAACTATATGCCGTATTCCCACATATTCCACAACATTGATTTTTTCTCTTAGATTTTAACATGCTTTATCCGCGTTTGAACAAAGATTATATTCTCACAGGTAATACTATAACATATATATGTATCTTTCAACATATGTGTCTGCGTGTCCATGAATTGAAAACATTTCTGTTCTTATTATTACTTTTTTTTAATCAAATAACTTCTAACATAATTTTTGTCTTAACTTTTTAAATTGTAACATGTAATTGATCATCTTACTACAGTTAAACACTTGGAACCAAAACAAATTAATCAAAGAATAGCCCAAAAGTGTGATACACACATTGAGAATATCAAGTTATTCTTTTGTCTCAATACTGCACTTCTACATTGTTAACAACATTTAATTTGTTACGATGGACAAAAAAAAATAAAAAACAATTTCATCTTTGTTTTTCATTTCTTTTCTGTACAGAAAAGAAGAATTGTCTGTTACATTGTGGGGAGATGCTTTTTTTTTCTTTATCAGTCCACACAATGTCCTTACCCATTATCATTGTATTTACAAGTTTAAAAGTGAAGCTTTATCTATGTAATTGATTTAACTGAAACCCATATTTTTTTAATTTTTGTTATATTGTCTTATTACATTAGTTGCTATACAGTATTCCAATTTTCTATCATTATATAATTTTAGTGTATTATGTTCCTATTCTTTTGTGACAAAGCATTGGTTTTATATCTTTTCTATCAGTTATCAAGCATTTGAATATATTCACTATGATTTGTGTATCATTTTTAGCCATCAATGTTCAAATTATTTTTACGCTTTAGAAGCTATTGATCATAATTTTTTTTGCCATTTTTAAACATTTATTACCAAATTGAAAATATTTACTCATCTCTGATATTTATTGATGTTTGTTTTATAATTTGTTATTCTTTTTGGGATGTACAGATAAAGTCGTTTTGAATAGTACCTATTTCTATCTAGAAAGAAACTTATTTTTCAAAATTGCTTATTGTCTTTTTAAACTTGCAGCTTCTCGACGTGTAAAAGTCCTGTACAATTGCTACCACCTTCTTCAAGACAAGTGAATGAAGCTGAAGTTTTACGTACTGCACGAAGAGTGACAATAGATTAGCTAGCTTTTTTAGATCCTGATCTATATAAGGTATAAAAAAAAAAAACAATTTATGTGCTGGTGTGTGTGTGTGTGTATATATATATAATTTTTTTTTTTTTAACAAGAAGCATTTATATTATTATATTTTTAATGAAAACTAAGTTTCTTCTTGCTTTTTTTGGTTAATATATGTTACAAAACATATTTTAAAATGATACATTCCTACGTAAGGCATCAGTCAAATGTTTTGATACACAATATAATTGGTGGTATAGTGTTTGCCCCAGTTGTGTCAAACAAATACAAAAAGATTCAACAATTGAACAACTCATTTGTCAGAAATACCCCAACCAGATACCAACACCTTGGTAATGTTTAATATTCAAATGTTTTGCATTTTTCCTGTTGTGTCATTCGTTTACAAATCAAAAGTTGGTCAAGATATCTAACATGTATTGTTTCAAATTTATTATTCTATTTGTGACCCATAGCTTATAAAGCATGAAAAACTGAAGCAATTCAATTTTTAAATGTAGGTATAAAGTTAATTTAATTCTTAAAGATAGCACTAATGAAATCAGTGCTTTGATAATTGGCAAGTCTAGAGAAAAGTTGTTTGGCATGTCTCGCAAGGATTTAGTCATGAACCAAAGACTGATTGACCAACAACAATTGCTGAATGAGTTTTTGAGATTGATTGGTCAAAAGAAGATTTTTCACTTGCGATTTAGAAATCGTTGGAACACTTTGAACTCAAGTGATCTCCTAATTTTTAATGTCTCTGATGATGCAGCTATTAAGCCAATAACTCCGCAAGTGTTTGGAAGAGAAAGCACATTATCCTCCAAGACTGTATCATCTTCGACCTCACCACCTCAAACAAGTGATCAATCACATAAACGAAAGAGAGAATCCGTCAGAAGAGCCCTTTTTACTGGCACTGAACAAAGGTTTGCGCTCAACCTGCATGTTATTATCAAATCTGATATTTTTGTTTTCCTTCTCTGTATTCAAAAATTGATATCTTTTACTAATCTTGCTTTGCTTGAAAAAAAAAAAAAACATGTTAGACATTTTTTTAACATAAATTTTCCAAATGAACAATATACTTATTTATGTTTATGCAATATTTTCTCTTTTTTCTTGAATCGAATGTACTTGTTTAGTGTACACATTTAAAACTGTGAAGCAGAAGAAGTTTCAAAAACTGACCCAAAAGAATTGGATGAAATCCCTCTCAAATCACTCAAAAAATAATCCCATCTAGCTCCCACAAAAACAGATACCATCCTTTCAAAAAAAGACTAAGTATGTTTTCGTTTTTTCTCAATTTTTGTATACACATGTTCCAATTTGATTGTAACCACTGTTTAAATGCTTTTGTTTCTTTTTCTGTCCGTACATGTTCGTTTGTCAATGTTAACGGTCATCAAACTGCTGCAACAACACTTTTCAAGCTTTGTTGAAGAATATTTTACATTTTTTGGTTGGCATATCTTCAACATCTAACATATTCAACAATAAATATTTGTTTGTACTTAAAAGTAGACTATTTCCTCAACCTTCATGTACCAGCATTTCTTATTTTTTTGTGTACAGAAGCTGGCTTAGTTTTTAGGACATGTGGAACTATTAGAGTAGCATATATAGCTATTATAATTTTTTGTATTTCTAACTAAAAGTAGCTACTCGTTTTTGTATGTAATTATCATGGTGCTGATCCAAACATAGTTGTAACTACTATAATGCAGTTGAAAACTTTCATGTTTATCTCTAATTTCACAAAATTCAACCTTTTGTCTGTAAACATTTTCAAACTTATTTGTTATCAGTGTTGTTTCTATTTTTCAAAACCATTTTTCAAGTTTACTTGAATCAGGACTTATCAAATCAAAGCAGCTACAAGGGAATTTGAACCTAGGCCTCTAGATATATAATTCTGCAAGGAAACTAGGTACGTTCTATGCCTGAACCATTTAACTCAATTTGAATTAGAGAAAGAGGGGCACAAGAATTTGATTCATATCTAAACATTTGGTGTCACCTATTCTGAAAAAAATTACTGAAAAAAGAAGAGTTCAGTAAGGAATATTTTTAGGTTTGTGATTCTATGTATTAATTAAATTCTAAATTTTTAATTAAGTTCAATCAAGATATTCACATTCCTATGCACTTTTGTTTTCCCCAATTTTCTCCTATGTAGCCTTGCAGTTCCAACTTTTCTACAAACTCGATACTGTGAAATAAACTTTTCTGGTCAATAAAAAAGTACAATTTTTCCAACTTTTGTGTGTCTTAGTGCTTTTTGTTATGAGTTAATGAGTTGGTAGTGTTTTTTGTCGCTTAAGTAACATGAGAATATGTTTGTATTGCCAACTATAGATTGCAATCGACTATCATGTTTAGATGTTTGTGTCTATCTATGTGACTTTTTAAGTTGATTTAGCATGTTGTTAACTTTATTTTTGAGTTGATTCAACATGTTATTAATTTGGATGAGAAAAAAGAATTGGAAATGGATACACCTGTGTTCTTTAATATTCATACTTCTAATCTCTCTGATTTAATTAAATTCATTGCATCGTATAGTACTGCCAAACAAATACACATTATATAGTCTAACTTTGTTTTTCCTCCTTTTTCAGTTGTTAGAAGCTGCAAGCTTTAACTTGATTCATTGTACCTATCAAGGTAAAGTACCCGACTCCAGTGGACAATATATTAAATCTTTGGTATGTAACTATTGTGTACATGTACATCAAGTATTATCCTTTATATGTAAATACAATTATTTACTAAATTTTTTGTATGTAAATAGTACTGCATACAAAATTTTCGTACAACTTTCAATCCTGCATCAACTATAGAAATTTCAGCAATAAACTCCTACCCTCTTCTCTCAATCATCTCTCAACTATGTCTCTCTCACCCCTCAGGTACGTGTTGTTGGATTCCGTTTGTTGTCTAAAATTTTTAATTTTTTTATTTGAGTTTGCTGGATTTCTTAATTTTTAATTTGGTTGGTGAATTTTCTTTGCCGTTTATTCTGTTTTTGTTATTATTTTTAATTATGGATCCAAACCAGTAGAGATCAAGTGTTCCACATAATCGCCCTTAGCAAGCACCTCAAGATAGTTGTGGCAACAATTCCTCAACCATTTTCTTTATCCTCTTTGCTTTCCTCGCCATTTTAGTTGTGGTAACCCATCTCATACTTTAAACTTTGCTCTCCAACTCGGAACTACTGCTAGATTTTCTTTTTCACTGCTAATTTGCTTTATATTTCTTCGACATTCTTTATTTCATCACATTTTATCTTCTAGCTTAATCCATCACTTGTTATGCAATACTAACTCAATTGTTCATCAATTTGTTTCACTTTTAGGTTTTATTATGGTTAAGTAATTCCTCTATTTTGAGTATCATGTATCTGTTCTTAATTTTCAATGAATCCATATATTTGTGTTAAAAGTATTAATTTCGGTTTTTTACAGTAACTTTGATTAGTATGCTAAATTCTTAAAACTAGGATGTCTTAATGTTTACAGACAGTTCTTCCAACATCATCAACTATATCAATTATGCACCAAGTCCCATAACATCATGTTGGGGTATATTGAAAAGGAGGCGCTCTTCTGAAAACAATTACAGATCCAAGCGATTTGCATTGAGAAGTTGCTTGCATATGACCTTAACTTTGTGTGCTCCTCATTATTTCAAATTTCAGGTTTTCATCTCAACCTGCCTCTGGCCACGCATTTTTAACCCATGCAAGTGATCCTACAGATTATTCAGATAACTTTCGTAATCCATGTTCGGAAGATTGATGATTCTTTTTCCATTTGTTATAGTTTTGAAAGCTTCTATTAGCAACATTATAGGTAACAAATATTCCAAAATATTTATTCATTTAGCAGCCATTTGATAACCATTTGCTTTTTAGTTTCAAGTTTTTGTTTAGATTTATTTTTGGGCATTTACAATAACTTTAATAAATGTACATTTAATATTACAATTTAGTATAAATTTATATATTATCTTCTTCTTAGGTTCTTCAAGCATTTAGGTTCTTAGAATATCATTTTTGGAATAAGCTGGAGTAGTGCATTTTATAGTCTGGCCTAATTCCCTTTCATTGAAACGACATTTTTTATAGAGACTGCTGGATCTCTAAAAAGAACTTGGTGCAAATTCTTTATTACACTGTTCTATCTTAGAAGATATGAATCTTACATTAGTTTTTTCTTGCTCATTTTTAATTGTTGACATGATTTCATCATGTTGGAAGAGCCCTTTTTGGAACATATGTTGAGAGTCAAGTAAACCTTAACACAATTGTTTATTTATTATTAGCTAACTCTTAACTATGATACCATTAAAAAAATCAAGGATAAGTTGAAGCATTTGAAAGAAACTAAAGTGGAATTAATTCGAACCAAACCATTAATTGGAAATTGATATATTTTTAGGTCTGTTCGCAATACAATGTACTATAATGAGTGGTATATGTGGTTTATATTTTCTATACTTTTTCTTATAATCTCTTATGCCTTGGCCTAATTATTTTCTTCAATTCGATCTGTTTTTGTAAAAACTTGGTTGTAACGCAAGTTGGAAACGCACAAAAGTTTGATCACATCCTATAGAATTGCCAAAGAATGTCATCTTCATTTCGTGCAAAATAAGACTTCTTTCAACACACAGAAACACTAAGTAAACACACATTACCCTTATTTTCTTCATGATATAATTCTACTGCCTAGGAATTTATTTCAATTTTTTTCCTCACTTGAGATGCTTCCTTAATGACCAACATAGCAAATGACAACTTTTAGTATTGCAATAAACAACATTTCCCATTAATGTTGTTGAACAAAAAACAATTCATGTTTTTTCATATCCAAAGGACTTCATATTTTTAATAGACAACAAAGGTTTATCTTTTGATATTTAAATTTGTTTCATTGATGATGAAATTGTGTATAACCCCCAGTTTATGAAAACTCATATAGCATAATAAGTAATAGGTTTTCCGAAAACCCTAGCATGCCATAAAACCTTCGTAAAAACATATATCATATATAATGGGCTTAGTAGTGGTAATATAATCACCCGAAGGCACTACATCGCTCAGCTGAAGCCATATATAAATATCTTCCGCCTGAAGGCCCTTCATCACCCGCCGGAAGGCATATATAAATATCATTATGCATATGTAAGCATAGAAAATCATAAACATAATCTTTCCAAAATATATCGCATCAGAGCTCAATAGCTCAAACATCATCATAAATTCATAGGAGCGTTCTAGCTCAAATCCTCATCATAAACCATGTTCATAAGTATATAATCATAAATATTTCAAAGAACGTAAATCCGATAAAGCATGATATTTCATAAAGCGTAAATCCAATTTACTCATAAACGTTTCATAAAAAGTAGTCATAAAATCATGCTTTTCATGTATGCATTTCTAGCAATTAAAACATGCATTTTGGAAGGGGTCCACTCACAGATACTTTGTCGTCGAAGAGCCATTCAAGCTACAGAAGACGGGGGTCTTCACTAACAAACACACCTAAGCACAAAAGATAACCAATTAATAAATCTATACTAAAATGATTGAATTTAGAAAAACAGAGCGCGATTTTGGAATTAGGACGTCGAAATTAGTTTAGGAGGTGTCCGGGCCGAAATCTGAAAAAGTCAATGTTGAATGGTCAATGATCAACAAAAGAGTCAACAATCAACGCTGACCAGAAGTCAGCAGGTCTGGTCAATGTCAATGGGTCGAGTCAACGGGTCAGATCAACGGTCAACGGGTTTGGTCAACCTCAGTCACCAAAAAATCCAATGGAAATTGGGTTTATGGCTGGAAGTTTATGCAATTTTCAAAGCTTCGTAACTTCTTCGTTTCTTAATCAAATTCAACCCATAATATATCAAAACGAAGCTAGGAAAGTGGAGAACAAGATTAATCCTATTTGGAAGCCCAATGGTTGCCGGAGATGGCCGAAAAATGGTTTGAAAGGTGATTGGTCCGGGAGAAATTGGAGAACTCGCTGGATTTCTGGGTAAACTTTAAACGTTCATAACTTCTTCAATACTCAACGAAATCAAGTAATTCAAAATGAAAATCATACTTCTCAACGAGAGGAAGATAATGGTACATTTCTTGATGGCTAACTTGCCATGTTTTGGCCGAAAAATGACCTGAAAGGTCACGGCCTGACTTGGGCTTCGATCCCAACGATCCAAAAGGAAGTTCAAGGTGAGGTTGGGTGTTTGGGCCCGTGAGGATGAGACGAAGCTTGTGGTGCTCTTGGTTTGGATGGTGGTGGGAGTGTTGTCATTGTTGTTGCTTGTGGTGCCCTCAGGGAGGGCTGGTTTTTAAGAGAAATGAGAGTAAGAGTATAGAGAAAAAGATAGTGATAGAAAATAGAAAAGAAAAGGGGAGAGGGGGGATGCACAGGACAAAGGAGAAAAAGCAAGGGGATAAGGTGGGTCCTAGTGGCACATAAAATAAGGTCACTAGAGACGAAACGCGAAATATCCGAAAATGTTCAACATTTAGTAACGTAAAAACTTCGTTATAACTCCAAATTCGAATCCTTTCGCAGCCACACGTTCGTGGCAATGAGTACAATAAGAATAAACTAAGAAAATTAGTCATACGTGTTACATTGAGACGGTTTCATACTTTCAATACAATAAAATACGACAAATTTAGGACGGGTTATCACAAGTGCTTGCCAAGCATTTTACCCATGAACACTTTCCTTTCCCAGTGCTCCACAATAGTAGAAGAGACTAAGTTGGTTTGTACTATGGTCATCCCTCTCTATGGTGAAAGTGTTGTTGGCTTTCTCAATCACAGTGGGTTGTCACCTAGGTTGAGGAACTCAAAAAAGGGTTGACCCAAGAAGGTAATCTAGGATTAAGAACAAGTCTTTATCTACGAGAAGAAGATGCCTCAAGTTGCGATCTAGGAGCCATATGGTAGTAAGCTAAGTGAGTAAAGATTGGCCTCAAGGAGTAGTTTCAATTGCCTTATCCGCCAAACTAGAATCCTAGCCAAATTAGATCTAGCTTAGTTGTCTAGAGCCAACAATATACAAAACTCCAAACCAATCCACTCTAATCCTAACTTAACTAATTCGAAATGCGAAATCCAATCTTAATTGGGCTACCAAATGTGCCCTAAATCCTCCAACAACCCGTTTCTTGGCATGTACAAATAATATTTGGCCAGCATACTCGTTGATCATTCCGAGCAAATCCAAGTTGAACCTTTACATCAAATACGGCGTCGTACCATGCTGTGCAACCTTTATCTATTTGAATTGTAAAGTAACGTGAGAGTGAAATCTCACTTTAATACTTGTGAGGACTATTTAATAGTAGTGACATGATAAATGATTAATTTGTTAAGTGGTAGGTACTTATTTGAAATGTTTTAAAATGTTAAGAGTCGAAACAAATTTGTTAGACGACTTAACCCTTATTTATTTTAGTTTGAGAAATGCTAAGAAGATTCTTTTAAAGTCAAACTCTCTGTAAACTTCCGTTACCTTATATATTTTTACATAATATTTTATAATGTTAGCACATAATTGTGCGGATGATGAGCGCATAAAAAGTCATACTTTTCAAAAAGTATCTTTACCATTTTCTCCATTAGTTTTGCCCATTTAGGAAAACCCCTTACTTCTCTCTTCCTCCACTCTCTCTCCTGGACTCCTTCCCCTCCCGCATTCTCTGTTCCCTTTCTCCCTTTCACGCTGCTACAGCAGCGAAGACGCAGCACGGCAGGGACGACGGCGCCGTTGCCCTCCGACCTTTAATGACCCCAAACCTGATATTCCTAGAATCCTCTCTTCATACCATTCCAAATCTTTACCTTATTTCATCAAATTCGAAGATAGTAGTTTCGATTTTCAGATCTAAGCCGCGAAAGTTCGTAGATTTTCCGGCCGGAAGTTCGTGGATTCTGCCGTAGGGGTAGAATTGTCATTTTATTCTTTTCCGGATAAAACACTTGCTAAGATGATGGTGGAGGATCTTGGTGTCGAAGCCAAGGAATCGGCGGTTCGCGAGGTCGCCAAGCTCTTGCCGCTTCCCGAACTCCTCCAATCCATTGCTTCCGTCAAGGCCGATTACATTGCCCGCCAACAGGTTTTTCCCCCCTTTCCTTTTTCTTCAATTTATTTTTTAGTAATTTTCATTTTTTTCCTGATGTTATTTATGTAATTAATGAGTATGTAGTTGAACTGGAAACTCTAATTAATGAATATATGCTTGCATATTTACGAGATTGCATAAAATGTTTTTAAATGATTTTAAATGTTTGAAAATTCAACATAATTTGGAGTTGTTCTGTGTTTTCAGGCAAATGATGCACAGCTTAGTACGATGGTCGCCGAGCAGGTACACCATGTGTAAATTTGATCCATATTTCCAGAGGTCTTTCTTTGTGTCATAGTCGAAAGTCGCTTGTTGATTGCTAGTAGCATTAGTGGTATTGCTCTCGAGTTGGTCAGAGGTCTTAGGTTCGTTGTGTAGCCGAAACCCCACTCCCAATATTGTTGTATAAAAATTATGTTTCTTGTTTATAGTGGGTTGGCGCTTAATTAGTATCACAAGTGTCTTACAAAGGAATTGTTTTTCTTTTAGGTTGAACAAGCACAGACCGGGTTGGAATCGTTGTCCTTGTCTCAAAAGTCAATAAACCAACTCCGCGAGAACTTTGTTTCCATTGAGAAGTATGTTGTTCACGGGAATTTCTAGAGGCTTTATGATTTAAAGCAGATTTCTTTTGTGTGTTGCACTGTATAATATTAATAAGCAATTGTGCAACGTTGATGTGTTCATAATTCTTTGGTTAATATGATTTCCTTGTCATCAGGCTATGTCAAGAATGCCAGACATTGATTGAAAACCATGATAAGA